CAATGTAGTGCGTTATTCTAGGTTACCATGCGGATTTCCATTTCATCGTTGCTATTTGATATTGGCGGTTTCATGCTCGATTATTTACCTATGACTCTCGTGCGTCATATCATTTCACACATTTATACATCGCCTCAGGTACCCCCGGGGACATTTCCACGTACCCCTCCAGGGGTTCGCGTACCCCCCTAGTTGGGAGCTACTGGGGTTAGTGCTGTCTCAGTTGAACTTATTTCGCACCACCGTATATCGCCAACCGTGCTAATCGGAGGTGCTGGGGGGGGGGGGTAACGACAAAAAATAAATACAAAAACAACAACAGATTTTGATTTAAAGCTTTCGTAACTGCAGGGATTCATATTCTTGGTTCTTTCGGTAAAGTCACGTAGAAGGGAAACACTTTTTTTCAAATTGTCTTGCTGTGTTTTTCACACCTAATGATTGCTTGTGTTGCAGTCGAAACGTCGTGAGAATTTTATTGTTTTATATTTGTATTATTTTATTGTTTCCCTTCTACGTGACTTTACCGAAAGAACCAAGAATATAACAACAGAGTTTGCATGGGCGATGGGGGCGGCGCTGGCCGTAAATACAATTTTTCCCCATTCAATAAAAACAAGTCAAAAAAGGATTTCCTGCTGAAATGAGCATTTCAACTCCTGTTTATAGCCCTGAGGCAGTCACGTCCTCCTGTAGACCAGGCGAGTCAGTTAACATCTCGTAACCTTGGCGCTCACTTCCATTTCGTTCCTTAACTTTGCACTCAATCTTTGTTCTTTAACGGGACCCCACTCTATTTCCCTCGGTCAGGGAGCTGGGAAAAAAAATACCACATTCCGTGGACGAAATCTCCATTGTTTCCTTTGAGAAAGTGAATCGTTTTTTGTTCAGTTTTAAGACACACACACACGCACTTTGCAGGGGTAACTATAGACATGCAGTTGACTTCACCTTGTAACGACAGGCATCAACTGTGCATCGCCACTGTTCGAAGGGACAGAAGCAATGTTTGCTCAAAGCCGGTGCACACACCCGGGCCCCCCAAAATGTATTGGCTGCTGCCTTCAGCCCCATCTTATCTGCCCCCCACTCTCTGCCACAGTGTGCGAAGGGCGCGCCTCGGAACTGCCGTGCACCGAGAGAGAAATTAATTTGAGTTTAACACGTAGGCTTTCGCGACCGATATTATTCATGATAAGGGTTTTTGGGTTGGGTTCAGTGTTGCCACCCTGCTCTATTTAAGACCGGGAGCAGATGGATTGCTTCACTATTCTGGTAAATCGCCCGATGATGCTGGATGCAATTACCAGCGAAACGTCGTATTTAAATTCTAAATGTCGTGGATTTACTCTCCAACACACCAGTGGGCTGTAGTAGTAACTAATTGGCGTTTTCTTTACGTGACAAATCCCTTACTTATTGGCTGTGTCGGATGGTGGAGGCTTACGACACATTCATACTGACGCAATCTCACCCAAAAACCTTTATTATGAAGAAATTAATTTACAGTTTTTGGTGATGCCGCTGCTGCTGCTGCTGCTGCAGCCCGCGAGCAGAATGCACGACAATGACAACAAGAAAAGACTCGGCACGTTCTGTCAATAACATCACCGTGGCCTTAAAAGGGGAAAAAAACTATAATATATAAGAGATGGTGTGCCAGGCAATTGGTTCTTTATTGCACAGCACATACGTGGAAATGCACCTGAGAAAATTTAGAAAATGGGCTGGGTCGGTCAATGCGAGTCCATTGGATCGCGACGTAAACGTACAGCCTTTGTATCAATCCACTGCTGGATGAAGGCCACCCCCCCCCCCCCCCACGCCATCCTGGAGTTGTGGGAGTTATTGTTTGACCATACTTTCACCGTGCCGGTCACGGGAGCATAGAAGTAGGTGCGGTACAGCGATGGACGTTGCTGCACTGCCTTCCGCTATCCGCAACGTACCCCATGCCGGCGCTGCGCATGGCCGCTGCCCATCCTATGGCTGTCCGAGCTCAGCCCCCGCTTAGCGTCCTGGATCTGCCGACGTTGGCGCGTGTGGCGGGCGATCTGGTGGGGGGCATTGGTTCCGCTACGAGGCAGCGGAGGCATCGGGGAGTGATCACTCATCCTGGTGTACGCTAACCGCACGCAGCTGAGTTGGTGCTGCTGCTCTGGGGGAGGGAGGCCTCGTGCCCCCCATTCTAAATTATTGTCAAGTCCAAACATGTTAACGGTAGACAAAAGGAAATGCCTAATTACTAGTTCTGTTCAGCGTTAAAAATGTGTTTAGGGTTTGGTAAATATGAACTGTGACGTGCCCCCCATCAGTTTTTGTTAGCAGCCCCCTCCATCTACCCCCCCTCCCCCCCCGTCGCTTTACAAAAGGTCATCCTACAGGGTTCAGGTCTCAATTTTGTATAACCAGGTGTGAGAACTCTGGAGACCAGGAGAGAGTCTCAATTTGCAAGAGTGGCCTGGGGTCACTGAAATGTCAAATAGCAATTAAACATGAACATCGAATTGCAGCGATGAAGCAAATAGCAATTGTTGAATTTGAGACGCAATCAGTAACAGTGCCCGGACATAATCAGCATTCATTCAATGCATTTTCACTTAAAAAACACTGGCTTGGACAATTTTTTTTTATTCCACATCCTCCCTCACATCTTTCATTTATGGGTATAGATGAACATTCTTACGTTCCGGGCGGTAGTTTGCGGTGCATCGATGGTATCAGGCAAAAGTTCCACACCGAAATCATCAGAGCAGGTCATGGGGGGGATTTTATTTGGGGGATAGTGGTGGCTTGTTAATACCGTTCTGGGTTCAGGTGTTTAAGACTGGTCTTAAGTTTAAAGTATTTTAAGACTGGTCTAAGGTTTAGGTATTTTAACAATGGTTTAAGGTTCAGATATTTTAAGACTAGTCTAAGGTTCAGGTATTTTAAGACTGGTCTAAGGTTCAGGTATTTTAAGACTAGTCTAAGGTTCAGGTATTTTAAGACGGGTCTATGGTTCAGGTATTTTAAGACTGGTCTAAGGTTAAGGTATTGTAAGACTAGTCTAAGGTTCAGGCATTTTAAGACTGGTCTAAGGTTCAGGTATTTTAAGACTGGTCTAAGGTTCAGGTATTTTAAGACTAGTCTAAGGTTCAGGTGTTTTAAGACTGGTCTAAGGGCCAGGTATTTTAAGACTGGTATAAGGTTCAGGTATTTTAAGACTGGTCTAAAGTTCAGGTATTTTAAGACTAGTCTAAGGTTCAGGTGTTTTAAGACTGATCTAGGGTTCAGGTATTTTAAGACTGGTCTAAGGTTAAGGTATTTTAAGACTGGTCTAAGGTTCAGGTATTTTAAGACTAGTCTAAGGTTCAGGTGTTTTAAGACTGGTCTAGGGTTCAGGTATTTTAAGACTGGTCTAAGGTTCAGGTATTTTAAGACTGGTCTAAGGTGCAGGTGTTTTAAGACTGGACTAGGGTTCAGGTATTTTGAGACTAGTCTAAGGTTCAGGTGTTTTAAGACTGGACTAGGGTTCAGGTATTTTAAGACTGGTCTAAGGTTCAGGTATTTTAAGACTGGTCTAAGGTTCAGGTGTTTTAAGACTGGTCTAGGGTTCAGGTGTTTTAAGACTGGTCTAGAGTTCAGGCATTTTAAGACTGGTCTAGGGTTCAGGTATTCTAAGACTGGTCTAAGGTTAAGGTATTTGAAGACTGGTCTAAGGTTCAGGTGTTTTAAGACTGGTCTATGGTTCAGGTATTTTAAAACTGGTCTAGGGTTCAGGTATTTTAAGACTGGTCTAAGGTTCAGGTGTTTTAAGACTAGTCTAAGGTTCAGGTGTTTTAAGACTGGTCTAGGGTTCAGGTATTTTAAGACTGGTCTAAAGTTCAGGTATTTTAAGACTGGTCTAAGGTTCAGGTGTTTTAAGACTGGTCTTATGTTCAGGTATTTTAAGACTAGTCTAAGGTTCAGGTGTTTTAAGACTGGTCTAAGGTTAAGGTATTTTAAGACTGGTCTAAGGTTAAGGTATTTTAAGACTGGTCTAAAGTTCAGGTATTTTAAGACTGGTCTAAGGTTCAGGTGTTTTAAGACTGGTCTAATGTTCAGGTGTTTTAAGACTAGTCTAAGGTTCAGGTGTTTTAAGACTGGTCTAAGGTTAAGGTATTTTAAGACTGGTCTAAGGTTAAGGTATTTTAAGACTGGTCTAAAGTTCAGGTATTTTAAGACTGGTCTAAGGTTCAGGTGTTTTAAGACTGGTCTAATGTTCAGGTGTTTTAAGACTAGTCTAAGGTTCAGGTGTTTTAAGACTGGTCTAAGGTTAAGGTATTTTAAGACTGGTCTAAGGTTAAGGTATTTTAAGACTGGTCTAAAGTTCAGGTATTTTAAGACTGGTCTAAGGTTCAGGTGTTTTAAGACTGGTCTAATGTTCAGGTGTTTTAAGACTAGTCTAAGGTTCAGGTGTTTTAAGACTGGTCTAAGGTTAAGGTATTTTAAGACTGGTCTAAGGTTAAGGTATTTTAAGACTGGTCTAAAGTTCAGGTATTTTAAGACTGGTCTAAGGTTCAAGTGTTTTAAGACTGGTCTAATGTTCAGGTGTTTTAAGACTAGTCTAAGGTTCAGGTGTTTTAAGACTGGTCTAAGGTTAAGGTATTTTAAGACTGGTCTAAGGTTAAGGTATTTTAAGACTGGTCTAAGGCTTAGGAATGGACCCCCCTGTTCACGTTGTATTCTTCTTCCTTGTCTCTGAGCTTATCGCTCAGACGCTCCAGGGCCGTGATTGGGCCGAATGAAGTCACCCATTGATACAACAACAGCAACAACAAAAAACCCCATCCCAAGAGTGAAAGTTCCACCGACAGAAACATCGACATGGGCCGAGGGAGATTCTTGTGACCGGCGCGCGAAACCGACAGGGACGTGGTGGAGGGGTTGCCGCCGCGACGACCGCTGCCCTCCCCCGCTGACCTCCTCCGTTGACCTCCTCCGTTGACCCCTTTGCCTCCTCTCCTCGGCCCGCCCAGGGCTTCGAGCGGCTGCGCTCCGAGGGGCACCTGTGCGACGTGACGCTGCTGCCAGGAGACGGGGACGAGGCTTTTCCCGTGCACAGGGCCATGATGGCCTCCGCCAGTGACTACTTCAAGGCCATGTTCACAGGTGAGGTCATCGTCGTCCATCGTCGCCATCGTCGCCATCATCGCCATCATTGTCGTTATTGTCATCTTCATTGTTCGTCATCATCATCATCATCAGCGTGAACATTTTATTTATTCATTTAAAACAAAAAAAATATGACATCGCTAGACCAGCCTCGCGATTTTTGTCACCCATCAGCAAGCCAAAGCCGACGACACTGTCGCCAAAGTGAGTAACAGCTGCATGCTACGAGCCAGAGAGAGAGAGATCCCCGCAGGTCCAGAAGTTACTATTTTATTACTAGCAATTCTATATTTGAAGCTTTCGTGACTGCAAGGATCCATACTCTTTGGTTCTATTCGGTAAAGTCACGTAGGTAAAAAATAAAACAACAAAAATCACGACGTTTCGTAATCTGAAACTTGCAAGTGAAAATCAGACGGCGACGTCATATTCATTGCATCAATTCGTGTGCAATTTGTAAGGCCGCGGTGACACAGACCTATTTCATTTAAAGGTTATAATCCCTTGTTCATCATGACGTCCTTTTAACTTCTATGTCTCAATAGCGTCACGGAGATCGCGTGATGACGTGAGGGTTCTGCCTTTGTAGTGAGGGTTGTGAGTTGACGCTGAGGGAGGGGAGGAGGCGCCTCGCCCCCCCTATGTGGAATGACATCACCCGCTAATTATTATTAATGGAGTGGGGGGGGTGTCCATTTGGAAGACGTAACCTCCTCATGATTATTAATGAGGGGGGCTGTTCGATGTGGAGTGACGTCACCTGCTCATGATTATTAATGAAGGGGGGGTCCATGTGGAGGACGTGACCTGTTCGTGATTATTAATGAGGGGGGCTGGCCGACGTGGAGTGACGTCACGCGCGTGACACGCAAACAGACATTCATGGCTCATTTTCGTAGTAATATGAATGTTGAACTTCTTTCGCAACGTACGTAGCCAACCGTGCTAATCGGAAGAGCGCTGTGGGGGTGGCGTGGAATTGGGAGGGGGGAGAATAGCACCTTGCAGAGTACCGATCTAGTTCGCTTCAGCACCATCCAACTGCACGCGTTTAACACTCACACAGGCAACAGCAATGGCAGGACGCAGTCCACGCAGCTTGCCAGCAAGCACTGGCACGGTGGGACCCCAGCCTTTGGTGCATCATTATCGCCGCACGGCGGCCTTGGAAGCTCGCATAATTGTCAATCATTCTACCCGCTAGCGGGCTTTAGAAACCCAGGAGGGTAGACCTTGCTGCCTCTATACCAGGGGTCTCCAACCCCCGGTCCATGGCCTGTTAAGAACCGGGCCGCACAGCAGCAGCAGGAGGTGAGAGCGGTGAGTCCGCACGTGGCCCGCCCCCATTATTTTATTATTGACCACTTGAGTCCGCGCCTCTTTCCCGCACTGCGCACTCAGTCTCAGTCACGTGGTGTTGGTAAGCCCACAAGCTCTAACCCCCTAGTAGCCAGAATTAGTAAAAAAACAAACGTCGCTGGAGAGATTCTTTGAAAAGCTGTGGTTTTCACACCTGATGATGATTGCTTGTGTTGCAGTCGAAACGTCGTGAGAATTTTATTGTTTTATATTTTTATTATTTTATTGTTTCCCTTCTACGTGACTTTATCGAAAGAACCAAGAATATGCGTGTGTACTGTGTGTGTATCGTGTGTGTGCTGTGTGTGTACTGTGAGCATCTACTTCTACCACATAAAGTAGAATCAGAATATTTATTTACATAGGAGGAATCCAATGAGCTATAAAGCTATTTTTCACAGATGTGTCAGTAGGGGCAGGGGGTAAGAACGTCACGACAACAAACGAAACAATAACAACATAATGGGAGCGCACAGTACAAAAGATTAAAACGAAACCGCCCCCATCCCACCAGACAAAGCCCGCTGAGATGTATTAAATTATTTTCCAATAGCGACCTGGCCACAAATGACAGCTCAACAGAACGGCTCATCGTGTGGACATTTGAAGCAAGCATTGTCGCCGATGCGTTACCGATGCGTCACAGGGTTGCGCCTCAGCTCATGCTCCCTCTTGGTCACGTGAGCTGCTGCGGGAGTTTCCATTAAAAGGTTCGCAACACGTGGACGACCTTTATTCCATCCCCGTCAATCCATTATCAGTGCCCGACCTCATTACAGACCAATTCACACCTTATTGGTCACCCCGTGGTGCCCTTACACATCACAACGTGCATCCTACAAAGCCCCATCACAAGTGAGAAACACAAACGGATAGAGAACATTGTTGTTGTTGTTGCTGCCTGTATTGAAACGGCTGTACGCCGCGTGGACCTGCAAACTCAATTTCCCCTGTACATGAATCCGGAGTAAGCCGTACGGGTTGACACGGTCGGTTATTCCAGCGGCATTCGTCGCTTGGCAGGTGCGGCGCGTGCTGCCGCCGTTCAGTTCTGGGGGAAATTCCGGACACTTTGGGGGGCGGGTCACAGCGTTGTAGCACCGCGCCGAGCGCCTGAAAACGCACCGGGTGGTTACGGTAGAAGTGGAGCCACTCATGGTTCTTGATTGCGGACGAGCGGCGATTGCACGGGAGAATGGACGGATGCCTGCTGGGTCTAGACCGTCACCACGTGGCGTGAATCGCGTCAATGTGTGCGTGGCCACGGTGCCGGAACCCGATGAGAGGGGAGTTGGGGGGGGGGGTAAAGAAACGTGCTCCTCGTTCGCACGTTTCCAAATCAGATCTATCGCTCAACATTCGTGAATGGGGAATGGGGGTGGAGTGACCCGCCAAAACCCCCCAAGCCAACAGCATCCAAAGGAATGGGGCTTGCAGTACAAGGGTTACGAAGCGTAATTTATATTATCCGAGGCCCTGTCACCCGCGAGTTTTGTGACCCGCGGATAAGAGGAGCGACCCGGAAATCATGACGAATGACCACCGTGCTGACGTATGGTGGAAAAAAAAAACCTTTTGACCAACACGGTGTGGCGAGGCCTTCATACATTGGTCGGCCGAAAATGCCTCGAGATTATTATTGTTAAGATTATTATTGTTCACGTTTATCCGTAGATAAGCCACCTGTAAGCGCTAAATTCATCCGATTATCCGCGTCACGTCACAACGACACGGAGTGAGCCCAGGATGGATATGTCACGAGTCAGTTTTTTCCAAAGATTACGGATAATGCGATCCTCCAATAGAGTCAAACGTCAGACATCACGTCGGATACGAAACGAATACGATGGAGTTTCACTTGCACAGTGAAACACAACTCCCGATTAGCACGGTTGGCTACGTCCAGTGGGAAATAATTTTAAACAAAGACAAATATCCCCCGTGTAGCCTTAAAAGACTGTTGGGGGCAAATGTTGTTAGCGAGCACCTATAAAGGCCAGCACAGCACACGAGGGGGTGGGTGGCCAGCACCACGCCAGACCGCCTTTGTCTCCCAAGTGGCGATGTTTACACACCGCACCAGGTACTCATTTGAGGATGAGTCGACCTAGGGGAGGCCCAGGACCGGTTCAGATAATCGTCACCGGTGTTGGCCGTGAGCGGGAATCGAACTCGGGTCACCGGGTTCGTAGCGCAGCGTTTGCGCTAACCGCTCCCCATGAAACGCACCTCCGGTTAGCTCGGTTGGCTACATACGGCGCGAACGAAGTTTGACACACACACACACGCACACCGAGAGCCCGTGCACGTGACTCGTTTTTCTTTCTTTTTCTTAAACGATTCACGTCGCCAGCAGGGGAGAAAGCTGCGCAAGTTGTTTGGCCAAGGTGACTGCTTTGCTCTGCCACGAATCTCACGGCTCCCACGCATGCCGGAGTTCTACTCGTGCCGTTGCTTTCGTCGTCCTCGTTGTCGTTGTGTTCTCTTTGTTTTCTTATCGCGTGACTCGGTCGGACAGCGTCGAGGAGCACTTGATGAAATGAACACTGCATCTTGCAAGCCCTTCGGAGGCCAACCTGGACAGACGGGAGTTTGAACGAGAGAAGATATTTCACGTGGCGTTAAGGCCACATCGCCTGGAGGCCTGGATTTTACCGGTCTCCCTTTTCGCCGAGAGTCTGCGGCAGTGTTCAGATCGATACCGCCCCGCCGGATAACCCCGACACCCCCCACCCCCCCGGCACGCACACCGCGTGGCACGGCACGATCCAGAGAGACGATCAGCTTCACGAGGCACCGCGGTGCCAGAAATTTATAATCAAACAATCTACGCAACAACAACAAAAACCACCGCACACAAACACCGCAATCGATGACCTTAGCTTGCGCGAAACGATAAGGGGAAAAAAATAGTTTTCCCTGAAAGTACGACTCGATCGCTTCGATTCAGAAATTCGACGGATTTTTGTTGTTGTTGTTAAACCCACTCCCTCCACCACCACCACCACATTCTAATTTTTTTTGTGAGTCGATAATCCCTGAATCATTTCAACCGGCGCGTCACGTTCCACCGCCGCCCCGCGTACGAAGCAAGACTTAATTAAAACAGCCGTGCTTAACAAGAGCACCGCCATCCAATCCCAGCCAGGCGCTAATCGGGGCAGCATTACATAAGCGGGCGTTTTGAGTGGCAAGGTGTTGGGGGGGGAGAACGCGTCTCACCGATCTGGTGGTGGAGGGCGAAAATAGCGGAGGGGAAATGAAAATGCGCACGCGCTGGTAAAAGTTAAGTGCTTTTGTTTGTGAATCTTAACACATTCAAGCGGTGCTGTATAATTATTCTGCACCATCTCTCGATGGCATGTCCGCTCATCCGTAACCAGTGCCAGGCATATGTAGGCTGTAACCCGTGGTTCTGTGGACTAAAAATGACAATTTGTATATAAACCCCTTCATGCAACTGCCTTGCGAAACAAATAAGGCCAGAATGCGTCCGATCTCGGGCGGAGTTAGGCCTAGATAATTGCTTGGATGGGCGACAACCAGGCATAACAAGTTTCATAGGCTGTGGGGCTACAACATCGGACGCCAGGTGGTAGCCCACAGAAAGCAGAAGACGTCTCAGCCGGTGGAGGTGT